GCATGGGACGTCTGCCTTATCTCCTTTCCCTCTCCTAAGGAGACACGGCCCCCTGACTCACAGGAGGAGAGTCTTCGCATCTTTTGTGCTGCAGTAATCTGAACAAAGCTGGTTTCAATAATCACAGTGCGGCCAGCAAACAACTCGCAGTCCTCTCAGTCATCCTAGTCATTTCCTGTGTATGTCACTAACCTAAGAGGAGAGGCAATTAATCAATTACCCAAATGTGTATTGAGCCCAGGCATTCTGTTGGGCATGCACGATTCCTCCTGTTGATAACATTTCTGTGAAGTGACCTTTTCAGTTATTGAAATTCATTAAGAATACAGAGAAAAGCAGCCCTTTGTGCCTCTGTAAAAGGAAAAAAAAAGAGAATATTGGAGAAAATGGGGCTACTCGGTTCTGTTCCAGTGGAAAGGAGTTTTAAAGTAGCAAGCAGAAAGCATGATGTTTTGGCTAACTGCTTCACAGAGCTATCATTTTAAACATGTTGGTTGAGAACTAGTCTCCTATCTAGGAAATGATATGGTCATTGGTCAGTATTTTCTCTTGGGAAAAGTCTTGAAGTTAGTATCATTGCCCCAGGCCTGAGTGATTGCAGTGGACTATCAAGTCTTTCAAGATTTGGGGGCCTGTGTATCGGCTGAGATAACCGGGAGCGGGAGTGAAGGCTTCTTGCACTAATAAGTCTGGTTATAGGCAAGGTTTTGTGGAAATACAGACACAACTTTTAAGTACCCTAGCATGGTCTCCCGTAGCTGAAGGCCCCAAGCAAAATTGAATGAGAATCTTAGATCGTCAAACTTTTTGAATGTAATCCATATAATTGATACAATCCATACCTAAAGGATATAATGAAATCTGCCCTTGCTCTACCTTATATAAATGTTAGAAGGATAAATGGAACATAGTATGTTAGTAGTCCTTAAAGATTAATTAAGCATGACAAGAAATAATATTTATTTCATTAAAATACAAGCTCTCAACTGGTCACTTTCCCCGTGCTATGCTTCTTAAGTTCTTATAATACCAATAATATTTCTGTTCTGATTTGATTATCCTCGCTGGTTGTACACAAACTCAACTGTCTATCCACATTAAGCAAACTTATTTTGAGGAGACCAGGAGTCACATGTTGCATTTGCTGACTATAAAGCCATTAACAAGTGTGGATTACTCTCAAACAACATTGCTATAATTAAAAGTACACATAAAACACTTGAACACTATTTGTAAGGGACAACGCTAGTCTCATGTTTAATCCATTGAACAATTAAGGAGGAACTGGACTTGATTATATTGTATTCCTCTCCAGATGAGCTGATGAATACGTGGAGAAACGGTCTAATATCCTCCATCAGAAGGTATTAAGGCCAGTGAGAGTAAAGAAATCTAGTCTATACCCAAGAAGTCAAACAGGAGCAGTGCTGGGAGTTACCACATTCTAGCCTGAGATCTGGATTCCTGGGGCCAACCGGCAGTTGGTAACAGTTAGAACTGGGTTGAAGTGAGGTGAACTTTGCTGAGAACCAGCAGGAGGGGAAAGGCAAAGATAACAAGGAAGATGAAGAAAGACAGCTGAACTTCTTAGCATATTATTCGTTTTTTAAGTGAAAAACAGATTTGACCAATGTGATATTTTTTTTTAAATTAGAAATCTATTAGAGTAGGTAGCTCTTGTTTAGGGAAAGTTATTATTTCTCTAGAATCAAAAGCATAAACTAGAAAAGATTCAGCCTTGGGTAAAACCTAGCTAGTCTTATGAAACATTCCTAAAGATTTTACATCACTGTGAAAAGTTAGTTCCTAGTTCTGAAGTACCTTTCATTCAAAAGTGCAAGGCTTATGTTAATAAGAATATGCACATATATTCATGTGCTGTGTATATTAAAAGTATTTGAGAGGGTAATTTAGGAATCTCAATTATGAATATTCAGGGCAGGAATCTTGCTTATTTTGCTGCTAAGGAAGGTGAATGGGCTAACAATAGTGGTATTAAAGCCTTTTACTTGCTAAGCCATCTGTCTAAACGGGATAAACAGGTTAAGTTTGTTCTCCCAACACCTAGAGGCAAGATTTTTACTCAGTTATTACAACATTACCACAAGTGTGTGGATTCTGCAAAAGTTGCCTAGCAACATTACAGTTAGAAATAACACTGGGTTGGGAAAGAACAGGAAATTTGAATTAGATATGCCCTGGGGCATGTGGGCGTAACCCTGGCTCTCCAGTACAGTGAGTGCTGTACTCAGAGGAGCATGAAATTTTAAAAATCAGAACGATCATTTAGAATTTCAGTTAGGACAGTGATGCAGTTAAACCATAACATTGTGCCATGCTCTCAGCTAGAGGAGGCAGGGCCTGGGTTTCCATTTTGGCATTTTTGTTGTAAAGAACTTTAGATTTTTATTCAAATATTCCAGAAACATTTATTAAGCACCTTCTCAGGGACCAAGGCACACTGCTGGTGGCTGGAGCACTAAAGACAAATAAAACTTGATCTCAGCCCTGGGTGGGAGGGAAGCCAGACAAGTAAACAAAGAGTGTTACATAGCCCATGCGGGGTGCCGGGGAAAGTGTGGAGCAGGGAATCTTACCTGAAAGTGGAGAAAGTCAAACAGTTCTCACAGTGAGTCTTGTTTTCAACTTAAAAAAAAATTCCTTCTTTCTCCCAGTCATTCTATACATTTGTTGAGAATTTACCTCTCCCATTATGTGGAGCACCTGGGTGCCAAAAATTCAAAGTACAAGGGCTGTGGACCAAGAACTCTTCCCTTCCCGTCTGGAACCCAGGTCCTTTTGTCCCAGCCTACGTCAAGGACCTCCCAGTTAAGGGAAGCAGACAGGTAGCAAAGTTAAGAGTTGACAAAAAAACAAAAAAATGTTAAAGAGTGTTTACCTCCAGGAAGGGGAACTTGGGCTGGGGGTTGAAGGGGTAGGTGGGAGACTTCTGTACTATTTGAATTTATATTCAGAGAGAAAAATAAATCAACAAATATTTAAGTAAGGGCTCTACTCTCACTCAGAAGATACTGAGCACCTAAGCCACATCAGAACACTGCAATAAACAAAACAGAAGAGGTGCCTACATTCAGGGGCCTTATTTTCTAGAAGGGGATAGAAATAAACAAATAAACAATCAACTTACTTTGAGAGAGATATAAGCCTGTTAAGGAAATAGAGCAGGGTGTTGTGAAAGAGTGGAGGCGGGGAAGGGACCTCAGCTTGCAATAGGAGTTACAGAATTCCTATACAGGAGGGGCTTGGAGCAATGATCTAGTTGGGGAGAGATGTCTACTGGGTTCTCTTTACCTAGGAAGTACGCTCTTTTTACATACAATTCATGTTACAGATCAACAAAGAGTAGAAGTTTTCTGAAGTTATTTTTATTTACACTTCACATGAAATTGAGAAAATGTCAACTATTCATATCAAAGAATTATATTTGTCATCAGGAGTGAAGGAGAGGAGGTGTTGGGGGCAGTGCTAAAAACCACTCTGGCTTTGGCCACCATGAAATATAGCAAAGGGTAGAGTTCTTGTCTTTTAAGAGCTTAAAATGACATTGGGATTTTGTATGTTGGGGTTAACATACAAAAAAGACACCTTTATACATCAGTTAGCAAATGTTTGGAGAAGACAGCTGTTCACCCTTCACTGCATCTTTAGTCATGTGATCTCAGGGAATTCCCCATGAGATAAGTACTAAGACATGTTTTCCATTATTAAAAATCCAGCTTGAGGTTAGCCTTTGAAAAGTGTTAGAACATATATGGCAAAGTGTTAATATTCATAAAGTGCTACAACAATAAAAGTGGACAATAGAAATAAATGTAAATGGCCATTAAGCACATGAAAACTGTCCAATAAGATTCAAAACAACAAAACAACATTAACAAACATTAAATGCCCACTGATGTCCACAACTCATCAAGAGTGTACTCTAATCCACTGCTATCGAGAACATGTTTTTTTTTCCTGGAGGGCAGTTTGGCAGCTTATATCCTTTAACCCAGTAATTCTCACTTCTATGAATGTATCCTAAAGAATAAAAAACACAAACAACGGAGGAAAAAAAACAACAAAAGAGGGAAGAATATTCATCACGGGGTTATGTACAACCGAAAAATTAAGAAACTTGTACGTGTGACAATAAAGTACGGATTAAATCACTCTGACTCGTACTAGAGGAATTTTTTCTCAAGGTGCGTGTAAGTTTGCGGCGAGCTGGGCCAATCGGTTTTACCAACACTTGCCCACGTGCTGGCAAACGAATACAAACAGCGTGGCCGCGTGGTGGGCACTCGGTTTTGTGCTGGGCCGACTGCGGTGCCGTTTCTATTTACTGGGGACAAGTCTCATGTGGACTGCAGAGGGGACCACGGCCTGGGGAGCTCACCTCGCCGCAGACACCGGACCCTAACAGCCCCCGTGGGGGGAAACTGAGGCTCAGAGGCCGCCCCACAGCCGGTGTCCTCGCCTCGAGAACTCGCGGGTCCGTCTTCTCGCTGATTTCGGTGCCTGAGCAATCGGTCACATAGTTCGGAAAGCCCCTGAGTCACCATGCAGGGCTCAGACCTCGACCCGGGAACGTGACTGCCCACAGCCACGCCCACGACGCCTCAGAGGCCGGTCCGAAGGGACCCGGGACAGGAGGCCGGCCTCGGGGGACAGCGCCCGAGGCCCACGGCCGTCCCCGCTCACCCCGCCCGCAGAGCCCCCGAGGCGCTCCCCGGCCGCCTGTCCGGCTTCGGGACCCGGAGCGCCGGAGGAGCGGCGAGGACGCCACGTCCAGAGCGGCGTTCGGCTCGGCCTTGTGGAGCCCCGCGCCCTTCGCCCCTCCCAGAGGGCCGCCTCGGCTCCCCAGCCCGGCCCCGTCCGGGCGGCGCCAGCCCGGCTCCCGGCCGTCGGGTTCGCTCATAGGCCGGCGGCGCCGCGCCCGCCTAGGCCTGGCCCCGCGCGGAGAGGGGGCGGAGCCCGCAGATTCGCGCCAAAATCGCGTAGCTGATCCCTCCCCCGCGGGCTACGTCGCGCCCTCCTTTTTTTTCAAACCCGGGGCTGGGCGGGGATTGGTGGGCCGGGCACTCACGTGGTTAACGGTCGCGGGAAGCCGCGGAGCCCGAACCTGCGGCTGGACCTGCGGAGACCCCAGCCTCGGCGCCCGCGCCGCCCCGCCTCTGCCGGACAGTCCGCGCCGCCGCCGCCGCCGCCGCCACCGCGGTCCGGAGCGCCCCGGAGCTCAGTCCGCCGCCCCGCAGGTCCGCTGCCGCGGCCACCAGGCGCGCCCAGGCGCACGTGGCGGACCCGCCCCCTGGGCCGGCCGAGCCCTGGACTCCGCGGGCCCCGGCTCTCCGGTCCTCGGCCCCGGCCCCAGGGGCGCGATGAGCTTCCTGAGTCGGCGGCAGCCGCCGCCGCCCCGCCGCGCCGGGGCCTCCTGCAGCCTGCGGCAGAAGCTGATCTTCTCGCCCTGCAGCGACTGTGAGGAGGAGGAGGAGGAAGAGGAGGAGGAGGGCAGCGGCCACAGCACCGGGGAGGACTCGGCCTTTCAGGAGCCCGACTCGCCGCTGCCGCCCGCGCGGAGTCCCACGGAGCCCGGGCCCGAGCGCCGCCGCTCGCCCGGCCCGGCCCCCGGCAGCCCCGGGGAGCTGGAGGAGGACATGCTGCTGCGGGACGCCTGCCCGGGCGCGGACGCGGCGGGCGGCGGGGCCGAGGGCGACTCGTGGGAGGAGGAGGGCTTCGGCTCCTCGTCGCCGGTCAAGTCGCCGGCGGCCGGCTACTTCCTCGGCAGCTCCTTCTCGCCGGTGCGCTGCGGCGGCCCGGGGGACGCGTCCCCGCGCGGCTACGGGGCGCGCAGGGCGGGCGACGGCCCCTGCTCGCCGCTGCCGGACCACCCGGGCACGCCGCCGCACAAGACCTTCCGCAAGCTGCGGCTCTTCGACACGCCGCACACCCCCAAGGTGAGGACGGGGCGCCCTAGCCCGCGCCGGCCGGTCTTTTAAACGGGCCGCGGCGCCGGGAGCCGAGCGCGGCGCTCGCCGGGTTCGGTTACATAACCGCCCGGCCGCACCCCCGCTCGCTCTCCCGCTCCGCGACAGAAAGTTGGCAGCCCCTCTTTTTGGCCCTGCCCAGAAGCTGTCCGTTAAGATTGTGTAACTGAACAATGGGCCTCGTCTGGAACGTCTTCATCTTTCAAAGGGGCTGATCGGCGCCGTCCAGGTGGCTGGTGATTTAACGCCCGCCGAGTCGGGGCCGCCCCGAGCGCGGCCGCCCGGAGTGTGGCACCGATAACGCGGTTTGGAGGGATGCTGGAGGGGCGCTGGCCCGGCCACCTGACACTCCCCGGCGCCGCAGCCATATGGTGCCTTTTAAACGCAATGATCGGTCCTGTAATTTGGGCGGCGCACCCCCGAGTTCGGTTGAAAAAAAACTGCATGCGCTTATCGTTTCGTGTCATGTGGCCTTTTGGGGGAAAGTCTGAGGTATGGAGGGCGACTGCGCTTCGACTTGGGAGAAAAGGCTGGCCTGCCAGGCATTTACCGTCTCAAAGACTAGTAAAAAACTCAGGGTAGCATTTAAGCCTCTTTGCAGACACAATATTTATTTGGTAAGCGTTTGTTTACACCCTTGGGTTTGCAGTGCCCAAGTCTGGTCAGCCCCAGTGTAATGATTAGGAACATCCAACTGTTAAAAACCAGCATTAGTATTGTTGCTTGGACGCTTAGGCTTTCATACGATTGATAATGTATCTTGAAGAAGTAGGAATTTAGCACCTGTTGGTAGAAGGGAAACTGAGTATGCAGATGACCACTTCTAGAACTTGAGAAGTAACAGCAGATTTTAAAGCGGACGCTTCCCGAAGTTAGGACAAGTATCGTATTTATAAGATTGATATGGAAAACGTACCTTTTTAAGTGAGTCAGCTTCAGTACCGTTAGTCATAAACCTCGGGAAGTCGTGTGCTTTTGATCGTTGCTGTTTATTAGCCGACTTGCCCGAGGCAAGATCCCTCTGGAAGTGAGGGGAGGAGTCCAGCGGAGGCGGCTTTCAAAGCCCTATTTAGATGGGGGGAGGGGAGCTTTTATGGGCTCCCTGACTGCTTTCTATTTTTAGATAGATTGAGAAGGTTTGTTAACTTTTGGCCCCTAGAATGAACTTAATTTTAGTTTGCATTCATACTCTTTTTAGGGTTAGACACCTATTTTACTTGGCTATCTTTTTCAGAGAAGGTGGTTAGTATCCAGCTTCTAACTCCTAAGTTAACCGCTGTTTATTTCGCTTGAAATATAAACAGAGGCTTGTGTGTTGCTTTGACCTACACATTCAGCCACGTGAAAGGCTTGTTGAAGGTTATGTTGAGAAGGCTGTCTGTAGGACTTGGATCCTAAAAATTTTGTTTTTCCTCTCTTAGAGTTTGCTCTCCAAAGCTCGAGGACTCGATTCTAGCTCTGTTAAACTCCGAGGTGGTTCTCTATTCATGGATACAGAAAAATCAGGAAAAAGGGAATTTGACATGCGACAGACTCCTCAAGTGAATATTAATCCTTTTACTCCAGATTCTGTGTTACTTCATTCTTCAGGACAGTGTCGTAGAAGAAAAAGAACATATTGGAATGAGTAAGTTATTTATTATTCAACAGTGTCGCTCTCCAACCACCCAAATTTAATTTCAACTGAATAACATGGAAGTTTATACTCTGAAATTTTCCCCTATTACTAGCACCTAATTCTCAGAAGAGATAGAAGGGAAGTAATCAGCTGTGGAAAAGGAGTAGTGTGAGAAAGGAAGGAATAAAAAGCCTAGATGGCTTGTAGGAAATCTGGTGTCAAAAATGAGGCACACAGGGCCAGCCCTGTGGTGCAAGCGGTTGAGTGCTGGAGCTGCGCTGCGGCAGCCCGGGGTTCGCAGGTTCGGATCCCGGGCGTGCACTGACACACAGCTTGGCAAGCCATGCTGTGGCGGCGTCCCATATAAAGTAGAGGAAGATGGGCACGGATGTTAGCCCAGGGCCAGTCTTCCTCAGCAAAAAAAAAGAGGAGTATTGGCATTGGATGTTAGCTCAGAGCTGGTCTTCCTCACACACAAAAAAAGTGAGGCACACACAGAGAGTTGATTTAGAAAGGCTTTAATTTTGTCACGTGTGGTGGTGTCGGCTTCCGGTTAATGAGCATATCTCAGCAAGGACAACATTTTCATCCTGAGGTATATCTTGTGATTACAAAATTAAATGCTTTCTTTTCTGTTTATATTCATTAAAATTCCATTTCACTGTACACCTATCAGATAAAATTTTGAATCTGTAGTTGATGTATGTCAGATATGTTAATAGAAAAGTACATAATATTTTTCAGTTCCTGTGGTGAGGACATGGAAGCCAGTGATTATGAGTTTGAAGATGAAACAAGACCTGCTAAGGTAAATAGCTTTTGTTTCTGAAATTTGATTTTCTACTTCTTAACAAGTTATCATATATACATGTTAAATAAGCACTAAAATATGATATAATTTTTAAATTTTACACATTATGCTATCACCATAGCGAAAAATGATTTTCATATCTTTGTATTATGTATATGGATACATTCTTTATTACAGAGAATTACAATTACTGAAAGCAATATGAAGTCACGGTATACAACAGAATTTCATGAACTAGAGAAAATTGGCTCTGGAGAATTTGGTTCTGTGTTTAAGTGTGTGAAGAGGCTGGATGGGTGCATTTATGCCATTAAGCGATCAAAAAAGCCATTGGCCGGCTCTGTTGATGAGTATGTATTAAAAATTTTGTCTTTTGCCCTTTTGTTCCCTGTGGTGTTACAAACATTAGGGTTTTACATGGTCAAGTACTGAATTAAATTAATTCTTTAACTTTTGAGAAGTTATAATAATTTAATCAGATCCTTTTCATTTTGTACCATTAGTTCTTATTGGACTTGGTAAAATAAGACGAGTAGTCTGATTTTGGAGCCTAACTTAAATTTCTTATTTCTAGTAGCATCCATGAAATCACAGTAAAATGGAGTTTCATCTTTCCTGAGTTCTAGGGCCAGCAAGGTTCCTTCTTTCTAACTAACATTCTTCTTTAAGGGAAAGCTTTGGAAAAGTCTGGTACAGAGTCTTAACCCCCTGTCTCTTAAGTAAGTTGTTCTTCAGCATAATGATAGATACAGAAGTCAAGTTTCTTTTATGAAGTTTCAGATAAATTAATTCAGTTTAGGCTTGAATAAAAATGATTTACCGTTCTATTAATCTCAAATTTCTCCTAGGCAGAACGCTTTGAGAGAAGTATATGCTCATGCAGTGCTTGGACAACATTCTCATGTGGTTCGATATTTCTCTGCATGGGCAGAAGATGATCATATGCTTATACAGAATGAATATTGTAATGGTGAGTAATGTAATTGTTCCCTTGTAAACCTCTGAGCCCGAGAAGATAAACACCAAGGAAGTATTTATTTTTATCTAAAATCTTGCTCTAATTCTCTCTCTTTTATCTCTTGTAAATTCAAAAATCAGAAACCTACCATGAGTTTCAAGTGCAAGTGATGCCTACCTGAAAGTTAAGATTGAAAACCTTGTCCCTTCTACCCTGTTAGAAGAACCGTGCATAGTATTTATGCATTTATCACTATTTGAGTGCCTGTCAATCAAATTAAACTGATCTTCTTGAGAGGACAGTGGCCTTGCCATATATGTTTTGGTATCCCAGCACCTACCATACTGTGTGTGAGATACAGTAGTTAACACAGGCTCCCTGCATCTAGCTTTCCCTTTCCATTTCATTTTATGTGCTGCTAAAACTGATGTTGGTTATTCGTAAAATGACAGTGACTCTCCATTGATCCAAATTCAGCCATTTGTTCAAGGCATTCTGTAATCTTGCCCCCACTCCCATCCATCCAACCTAGTTTACCACTAGAATCCACTAAGAATTTTCTATAAAGAAGTTATTCTCTTTTAAAGGGTTCTCTAGCTGTGCCTCTTTCCCTCTTTTCCCACCAAAGCAGTGTGTATAGAGGTTCAACTTTTTTCCATTTCAGCAAGTCCTTTAAGGACCAACTTGAGTCCCTCCTTTTTCATTAAACTTCTACCAAAATCCTGATCTCAATTCTAGTTCTTAGAGACTTCTGTTATTAAATATCCAAATCTTTATATATAACTGATTTCTATTTTTGTGTATCTTCTGTGAATATTAGAGAATTTAGAATTTAGTGAACACCTGAGATAGTGAAGTTTTTTTTTTTTTGCTGAGGAGGATTCACCGTGAGCTAACATCTGTTGCCAGTCTTCCTCTTTTTGTTTGAGGAAGATTCACCCTGAGCTAACATCTGTGCTAACCTTCCTCTTTTTGTATGTAGGTCACTGCGATAGCGTGGCTGCCAACGAGTGGTATAGGTCTGCTCTCGGGAACCCAACCCCAGCCGCCGAGGCGGAGTGCGCTGACCTTAACCTCTAGGCCCCAGGGCCAGCCCCAGCAAAGATTGTTTTTATTGGTTCTCCTTATTTTTTCCTTAAACAAGACCAGCCATCTCATAGCTTTTGAATAAATAAGTGATATAGATAGTGGATTCAGGTTTTCTATATTTAAAAACAATGAACAAAACAGAAGTAAAAGATCCATTTCTCACGTCTGATGCTCATTGAGTTGTCATTTTATTAGTTCTCTACACTTGAAAGAACATAAGTGCTTGGTATACAGCATTGCTGTTAGTTTGTTTCACACAGCTCTTCTTTTTTGTTCTTTTTAAAATTTATTTATTTTGTGTGTGTTTGTGTGTGTGTGAGGAAGATCAGCCCTGAGCTAACATCCATGCCAGTCCTTTTTGCTGAGGAAGACTGGCCCTGAGCTAACATCCATGACCATCTTCCTCCACCTTATATGGGACGCCACCACAGCATGGCCTGACAAGTGGTGCGTTGGTGCACGCCCGGGATCGGAACCCTGGCCGCCAGCAGCAGAGCGTGTTCACTTAACCACTACGCCACGGGGCCGGCCCCTCACACACCTCTTGATATGTTTCTATTCGTACTATCAAAATATTTATGTAGCTGTCTCCTTTGGCCTTGTGGACTATTCTGTTTCTTAACTGTCATTTTTCAGTTATTGCATTTAATATAGTACAACTTTTTGTTGTATGTTTGCTAGGCGCCATCTCCTTTTAGTTTCTTTCTCCCTCTCACCTTATTGATGTGGCCGGCTCTCTTAACAGGTATTTCAGTAGCAGTACAGGAATCACAGATTTGTAACAACCTACCAAATACATGGTTGTGTAATTCAGATGATTTTGAGAACACTCTCTTGGGTCTTGGGTGGTGGGGGAGGAGTGAGTGGTCTTGCTACTCTTTCAGATTATAAAGACCTTGTCCTGTAATAAAGTTAGATTATAAAATAATCTTTTGAAACAGTTTACTATTTTGTAGCAGTATAAAACACTTAATATAGATCTTTAAAAAATAAATAGACCTACGTGAAACAGGGCTGCCTCTTTGTATGGTTGTTTATTCTGCTTAGATGCAAGAAAATAAGGCTGTCTAAATACATTTGTGAGCTCTTCTTTTTTTATATTTTCTCTTTTCCACTATTCCTTTTTTTTTTTTGTGAGGAAGATCAGCCCTGAGCAAACATCCATTGCTAATCCTCCTCTATTTTGCAGAGGAAGACCAGCTCTGAGCTAACATCCACGCTAATCCTCCTCTTTTTTGCAGAGGAAGACCAGCTCTGAGCTAACATCTGTTGCCAATCCTCCTCCCTTCCCCCCGCCCCAAAGCCCCAGTAGATAATTGTATGTCATAGTTACATATCCTTCTAGTTGCTGTATGTGGCACACGGCCTCAGCATGGCCGGAGAATCGGTGCGTCAGTGCTCGCCTGGGATCCGAACCCAGGCTGCCAGTAGTGGAGCCTGCGCACTTAACCGCTAAGCCACGGGCCGGCCCCCCACTATTCCTCTTTCCTCGTAAAGCTTTGAATGTCCTAATAATCGGCCTGATCTTCAGATCCAGAGTGAAAGCATTCTGCTATCATTCATTTGTATGTGTTGATTGACTGATATACTTTGAGACTGAATTTCCTTATTATCTCATACAGTCATTTGCATTTTAAGCCTTTTGTCTTGGTTTGGTGATAGACGGAAATTGCTACCCTTGATAAGCGAGTGTAGAAAAATGTGGATGGATAGGGGAGGAGAACCTGAAATACCAGACGAGTGTTTGCTCTTCTCGCCTCTCTTGCCCTTTCAGCAGTGAGCTGGAAGGAACTGGCCTGGCTATGGTTGCTAGACCCGCTAAAAAGCAGCCGTATTCTTTCTTGTTACACTTGATCCAGGACTTCAAGCCCGCCTGTCTGACAGGCTTACTGACCTGCTCCCTTCTAGAGTCCTCTTTTTCCCGAAGTTCAAGATTTGTACAAGTTAAGTATGGAGAACATACTTAAGCCTAAGATATCCAGGTGTGTGATTTATTTTTATTTTTAAAACGCATTTGACATTTTATTATTCAGTCTTGTTCAAATTGCAGGACCTCTTTACCTGACTAACATACCATTGACCTTCCTGATTTTATTACCCTAGCTCTGATTTTGTTATTCCTGACTAAACTTTAAACAGAGATGGTTTTTCTTTGACACAACACCTCATTTCCTCTGAGATAAAGTATAAACTTATAAAGTTTTTAATAAAAGTTATAAAGTATAGACTTACTAACAAATTAGCTGATTGGTTTGACTGATTCTATAAAAGCAGGTTATGTTCTCGTTCAAAGTAAGAGTAGTGTAAATTAAAACCATACTAAGATACTGGTGTTTTTTTTTTTTTTTTTTTTAAAGATTTTATTTTATTTATTTTTCCCTCAAAGCCCCAGTACATAGCTGTCTGTCATAGCTGCACATCCTTCTAGTTGCTGTATGTGGGACGCGGCCTCAGCATGGCTGGAGGAGCGGTGCCTCGGTGCGCACCCGGGATCCGAACCCGGGCCGCCGGCAGCGGAGAGCACGCACTCAACCGCTAAGCCACGGGGCCGGCCCAAGATACTGGTTTTTACCTATAAAATTTATAGACTCTCTGGTCAAGGGTGTGGGAAACAGGTGTTCTCGCATATTACAGCCTGCTCTTTGGGGGACAATGTGTGTCTGCATGTGGAGCCACCCTGGTTTGTTTTCCAAAGCCCCAGATTCCCATAGGGCTCATGCTAGTGGAGTTTAGGTACTAGCCATTTTGAAATCAGAAACTGAATGCGCCGTGATTTATGTGAACTTTCAGAGGCAATTAAATTTTGGCAGTGATTGTGTGAATGCTAACCCTAAGCCCTTTTTGCCGAAGGATAATCGGAGAAATGGCCCTCTCAGCTACAGAAATTTATTCTGTATGTAATAAAATAGTATTACACACACAGACATACATACACACACACACACACAATGCATGTATATATTACATTGACCCAGCAATTTGTTTCTAGGAAATATACTAAGTATGTTTGAAATGACCAATGTACAAAGTTATTCCTTAGACCATAGTATATAGTAGCACAGGCTTGAAAATTATTTTAAAATGTCCATCAATTAGGGGATTGGTGAATGCGTTATCGTTCAACTATACAGTGGAATTCTGTGGAGACACAAGAAAGGGGTAGTCTTTCTATATTGGTAAAGAACAATCTTCAAGATAATGAAAATATGTTATCATGTGGCCAGCCTGGTGGCATTGTGGTTAAGTTTGCACGCTCTGCTTCGGTGGCCCAGGGTTCACAGGTTCGGACTCCGGGCACACACCTACACACCGCTTATCAAGCCATGCTGTGGCAGGTGTCCTACATATAAAGTAGAGGAAGATGTGCGTGAATATTAGCCCAGGGCCAATCTTGCTTAGCAAAAAGAGGAGGATTGGCAACAGATGTTAGCTCAGGGCTGATCTTTCTCACCAAAAAAAAGAAAAAAGAAAATATGTTACCATTTTTGTAAAAAGGAGTTGAAAAGAATACGTAAGAAACTGATAACAGTGGTTTACTCTGGGAAAGAGAACCAGGTGAGTTGCTGGGGTATGTGAATGGGACAGAGACTTTACATTATATTTTGTACCCGTGTGTGTGTATTACCTATTGAAAGAATAAATAAAATTTTGATTTCACAAGCAGGTTGAAGGGAATAGGTCCTATAAAATGTCACTTTCTTGGGTGAGTCTGTGGTCATTCAGTAAAGATGGAAGGAAGAAAAGTAATATTTCAGAAAGAAGAAAATGCTAACTTTTCCCTTGTTTGTTAGGTGGAAGTTTAGCTGATGCCATAAGTGAAAACTACAGAAGCATGAGTTACTTTACAGAAGTGGATTTGAAGGATCTCCTTTTGCAGGTTGGCCGGGGCTTGAGGTATATTCATTCAATGTCTTTGGTTCACATGGATATAAAGCCTAGTAAGTATTATGGAGTCTCTGACCTGTGTTCTTTAGAGTTATAGAGAATAAATCACTTCATGAAAACATATATGTTTTACTATGTTTTTTCATTGTTAGTTTTAAGAGACCTTTGACCCACTTATTAGTATTGTTTTGTGATTTCCATTTACCTCTTTCCTTGTTGCCCCAAAAGATTCGAGATAATAAACTCATTTTTATTAAAAGCTGGAAAAAATTTGCTGCAGCTTATGGGAGCCACATAGTCTCGAAGTGGGACTCTGATGGGGAGATAAGAACGTGTGTTTAAAGCCTTTTCTTCTAGGCTGTAGAACCATAATTATAAATTAATGCCGGTGCTGCTAATAGGGTTATTAGCATAAAATGAGAAATGGGAAAAATTTTTGAAAACTTAAGTGCTATACGAACGTGGTATTTCTAGTCTGTAAAAGAAATAGTAAAATTGTTACTGTATGACTCAGAAAACAAAATGATTATAACTGCATGAAAAGGTTGTGAGTGAATCGGAGCTGGAGAGTATAGGAATAAAGTCGTTTTATTTTTTCTCTTTACACTTAGATCATTTTTCACCTAAAAAAAATTGATTGATTTTTATAACATGAATGGCTCCAGTAGACTGACTGTACTATGACTCAGAACAACCTCAAAGTATTCTTTCAAAGGCTTATAAGATTTTAAATGGAAGGAGCAGTGACACCAATCAAGGTGTAGGCCTACATAATTTTAGCTCAAATTGAAACAAAATTTTATTACAGAAGCAATAATAAGTACATTATAAAAATATTTAAAAATGTACACAAGCCAGACTAAAAACAAAAAAATTAAATCCCGCTCTTCTATTAATCTTTGGAACTACAGTTATAAAATAATGTCACTGCTGCCAGCAGAGTTACTAGAATAAACTGAGATGTGAAAATGCTTTGAAAACTTAAGTTGCTGTACTATAAAATAACATGGAAATGCTACTGTATTATTCAGAAAACAAAATGGCACGTGCATTATGATTATCTTGCATTGAAAAAAGGATGCAGGTGAATCTTAGAATAATATCTTCATACAAATCCCTCTCATTTTATCAAAATAATGTTATAATGTACATACTGTTTTATAACTTTTTTTAAGTCAACTACCTCTACCTTTCCATTTCAGTAAATTTTCATCTCATTTAATATCCAGATCATATTAAAATTTTTCCCAGTTGACCCAAGTCCTTAACAGTTGATTTGTCCAAACTAGTATCCATTTCAGGACCATGCGTTACATCCGGTTATATCCATTTTTCTTTTTTAGGTTTTACTCTTCCCCTATTTTTAAAAAATAATAATAATACAGACCTTGTCTTGCAAAATGTCCTTTCTTCTGGATTTGACTGGTTGCTTCCTTGCATCATTTAGCTTATTCCTTTTTCCCCTATATTTCCTATAAATTGGAAGTTATAACTAACAGGCTGATGAATTCAAGTTAAACATTTTAGGCTAGATGTTTTTAAGTTGAATTTTTTTTTTTTAGTTATTTTATTTATTTATTTTTGTGAGGAAGATCAGCCTTGAGCTAACATCTGTGCTAATCCTCCTCTTTTTGCTGAGGAAGACCAGCTCTGAGCTAACATCTATTACCAATCCTCCTTTTTTTTCCCCCAAAGCCCCAGTAGATAGTTTATGTCATAGTTGCACATCCGTCTAGTTGTCATATGTGGGACTCAGCCTCAGCATGACCAGAGAAGCGATGCATCGGTGCATGCCTGGGATCTGAACCCGGGCTGCCAGTAGTGGAGCTCACGCACTTAACCGCCAAGCCACGGGGCCGGCCCTAAGTTGAATTTAATTAGTTTTTTTCTTTTTTTTTTTAAATTTTTATTTATTTTTTTTTTTCCCCCAAAGCCCCAGTAGATAGTTGTATGTCATAGTTGCACAGCCTTCTAGTGGCTGTATGTGGGACGCGGCCTCAGCATGGCCGGAGAATCAGTGCGTCGGTGCGCGCCCGGGATCCAAACCCAGGCCGCCAGCAGTGGAGCGCGAGCACTTAACCGCTAAGCCACGGGGCCGGCCCTAATTAGTTTTTTTCTTTAATCTATGGAAATGTGTGTGATTCGTGGGAGTTAAAGTCATTTTACAGAAGTTATTTTAATTCTATGGGTTATGTGAGGAATTTCTTATCTGTACATTAACAACTCACTAAAATTTTTATTTTCAAAAAATATATATATATGTTTGGACTGATGGCAATAAATGCGAATTAGTAAAGTTAGCCTGTATTCACTCATATCTTGTATTAAGTGTCAGACAAACATAGTAGTCCCTTATATTACAAGTACAAAAGCTGAAACTATTAAAGCTTGTGAAGTTTAAAAATTTCAAATTTACAAATACTACCATAAAATAAGTTGTCCTATAAATCAAGCAAAACTGGAAAAATGACTCCAGTGATTATAACATTTATAAATTCAGTACTATATTGATAAAACTACTAAAATGAAATCTGCCACTAAAATTTATGTTAATCATGAGTGTACCTGAATTTGAAGAAAGTGTGTGTGCAGTGGAAATAGTGAACCAGGAAGCCACATAGGCATGTAGATGCTATATGGTCAGCCAAACTCAATAGCTATATGACTCATTCTTTATTCTTTTCACACCAGCTTTGTAGCATTAGATTAAAATTTGTGTTTTGGCAGCATCACAAATTGGTACATTATTGCCTTTTGTGTTGTTTCTAAGTAATTAAAACTGCTGAAGATCAATGTGTAGATGACAAGTGTCTAATGCAGTGGTTTCCAAGTGTTCAAGGACCAGTGCTGGGTCAGAAAATACATTCCTGGAAAATATTGCCTCAGTTCCTATCCCCTGAGATTCTTATTCTCATTGGGTTTGGGGTAGAACATATGAGAATCCATGTATTTAAAAAAGCTTTCTGGATGATTCTGATGTATGGCCTTGTTTGTGAACTTTGGTTATAATGTTAATTGACTTAACATAAATAACTGTTTGACAGGCAATATTTTCATATCTCGAACCTCAATCCCAAATGCTGCTTCTGAAGAAGGAGATGAAGATGACTGGGTGTCCAACAAAGTTATGTTTAAAATAGGTAAGGAGAGATAACCAGGTTATTACCTTAAAATAGAGAGAGAGGCTGTTTTGTTTTAACTCTTGACTGTGTTTTTTTCAATACTTGTAGGTGATCTCGGACATGTAACAAGGATCTCTAGTCCCCAAGTTGAAGAGGGTGATAGCCGTTTTCTTGCAAATGAAGTTTTGCAGGAGGTGATTTTTCTCCTTTAATAATGCTGTTTGCTCTGTAACACTTATCAGTTGGTAGAAGAATATAAATGCCAATGTATTAAAATTTTAAGCTAATAACTAGTGGAATGGTAATACAAAATAAAAAGTCTAAACCATCAGCTGGGGGTATTTAATCTAGCAAAAGTCAGTGAAGGCAAGGATTTATAATATTCAATAGGGGTGGAGTTGTGGTAAAAGAGAAGTTCCCATACACTACTGGTGGAACTTTAAAATGGCGTAGCCTTTTTGAAGATCAAAGTATTAGTATCTGTCAACATTTTAAAATCACGTACCCTTTGACCCAGAATTTCAATTTCTAGGAGTCTCTCTTACAGAAATAGTCACAGAGAAACAAATTGAGAACAGTGTAAATAAGTATTTAGCAATAAGGGAATGATTAAGTAAATTACAGCACATAGTTAATAGTACTGTTTCAAAAAGTGTGACAAAATATTTCTTGATAAGAGTTTCAAATGAAATTAGAACAAGTAGAACAAATAAATTGTATGATCTCATTTTTCTTTTTATATGTATATTTGTAACTTGTCAATGTATGTATGTTCTGTGTTTTCATATGAATGCACCTAGAGGGCTAGGAGTTTCTTCTGAGAGTTGAATTGGGCTGGTGATAAGGAAGAGACATGCACTTTTAGAAATGTGTTTACCACTCCCCCCACCCCAAAGTGTGTATTACTTTGTAATCAAAAAAAAAAAAAAACTCCCTAGTGGTTAAAGTTCAGCACTCTCACCGCTTCAGCGGCCCGGGTTCATTTCCGTCGAGTAACCACACCACCCGTCTGTCAGTTGCCATACTGTAGTGGCGGCTCACATAGAAGAGCTAGAAGGACTTATAACTAGGATATACAACCATGCACTGCGGCTTTGGGGAGGAAAAAGGAAAGAAAAAAATCTCCCCAAATTTAGCTTGTTCTCTGAATAGATCCTAAACTTAAATCAGGCATTGGACATTTTAATTTAGTCATATTTCTCACCTAAATTATCACTGAGGTATAATCTTAACTTTATTTTGACCACTTTTATATTCCCTTAAAAATTTTTTTTTTAATTTTACAGAACTATACCCATCTACCAAAAGCGGATATTTTTGCCCTTGCTCTCACAGTGGTATGTGCTGCAGGTGCTGAACCTCTTCCCAGAAATGGAGACCAATGGCACGAAATCAGACAGGGTAGATTACCTCGGATTCCACAAGTGCTTTCCCAAGAATTTACAGAGTTGCTAAAAGTGAGCATTTTATATATGAAGCGCTTAATTGACACAGTTCAATATTTTACTAAATCGCATGTCTTTACCTTAATTTTACTTCTCTTTTTAAGGTTATGATTCATCCAGATCCAGAGAGAAGACCTTCAGCAATGGCACTGGTAAAGCATTCAGTATTGCTCTCGGCTTCTAGAAAGAGTGCAGAACAGTTACGAATAGAATTGAATGCTGAAAAGTTCAAAAATTCACTTTTGCAGAAGTAAGTGAAGGTTGTTTTGTTTTGTTTTTAGTTTCTCATTTTCATTAATTCTCAAATTTTAATGAGAGATGATTTAGGCTTTCTGTCAGTGAAGGTTTGCATGTTATACAGTTAAGGTTTGGGGACTTCTCCCTTAAATTAGTATTTGACCTATAAATTTGTGTTGTTTCAAAATTGTCAACTTAAAAAGTTTTAAGACTAGCATATATTTTAAGTGGTGATAATCCCCAAACCCTAAATTGTAGCAAAAGCTAAGTGAGCCAGTATCTGTCTTTTCCCTCTGAACTCACACATAAATTAACGTTTTCCTTGAAACATTCTGTTCTACTTATTTTTATGAAGGGATGAAATTAATGTTGGTTAGGTTAGCAGATGATTCTCATATTTGATTGATCTGAATGACCTTTCACATTTTTCAGAAAACTTGTTGGAATGATGATTCTAATTCATTTGCTTTATTGCTACCATTTTGATTCTAACCTAATAAAACTGACTTGAAATATTAAAAGGTTTATTTGCCACTAGTTTGATAGCAATCATAGTTCATACAAATAGGAAGTAGAATCCTCCTTTCATCTCTACTATATAAAGATATTTTCACAATATGAATTAGAGTTCTATTTGAAATTTTTTTTTAAGACCCAAAGTCATTACTAGCATCTTTATTACTTGTGTCCAAGTGTATATGATATTTTAATTCTGAAAGCACAAAATAAAACCATTTCATAAATTTAAGTTGTTTGAGCAGAAGCTAGTTTCATATTGTATTTTTCCTTTTGTCAGTTGCATCTTACAATAACGATGGCATGCAAAAATCTCCCAACTGATAATATGGTTTGTGTTTGGCCTCTTAAGATCCCTTCCTAAAATTAATACAGTAGGTAAAAAGTCTTGTTTCCTATTTTTCTGTTCTTAGAGAACTCAAGAAAGCCCAGATGGCAAAAGCTGCAGCTGAGGAAAGAGCACTCTTCACTGACCGGATGGCCACTAGGTCCACCACCCAGAGTAATAGAACATCTCGACTTATTGGAAAGAAAATGAACCGCTCTGTCAGCCTTACCATATATTGAGCTACTCATTTCCCACTTCCCCAAAAAACTGTGACAAGAGGAAGCTAGGTTGAAATCACTGCTGGAATCCACTTTGCAATTACTTTCTCAATTGGTGTCAGTAGTTTTACTGAAATACCTTTTAGGACTTGTGTGTGTGAATTACAGTTGAAAGCTGTATTTTGACCATTGGTATGTCAGGCTTTTGGCTAGTCTTAGCAGTCTCTCTTCTGTAGGATGTCAGTCACTGTTGGATGTTACACCGGCCTTTCCAGGGTGAACCACTGTGGTGGTGTGCTGCTTACAATTTGCTGTTGCATTGTCATCAAAGGTATCTTTACCTATAGTGACCTGTACAAAGGACTCAAGGGCTTGATTACAAACATTTTCTCCCTTTGAAAAGGGAAATGCTAAGAGACTCAGTACTACTCAGCTTTCAGTGTACCTGTGTCAATCTTATATTTCTTTTTTTTATTGTGAATTATACTTTTATATCCAACTGGGAGCACTTTGTAGGCATTGCATGAACCATGGAATGATAATTCTGTGGAAGTATTGCCTTGTGAATTTGCTGCTATTTTAGTTTTGTCTTTGCTGTAAAATTGTAGCATTAAACAATCATTGTTGTTAATAGGCTTTCTTTTGAAAACAATTATGTGAAATATATAGCTGCTCTTGATGAAAAGCAGCTATTTGCCTTTTTTTCTTTGAACTTTGAAGCTAGTGCATTGGAGAAATGCACCTTTTTTCCCCCTTTGGAATGCTGTATTAATGTAGTATAATTATTGCTGGTTTTGTAATTTTTCCTGATAATGCCCTTCCCTGACTCCTTTTTAAAATGTTTCTTCCCGCTGCCCAAGTTTTGTACTTGATTGTATTATTAGTCTGTTTTTGAATGTTTTGCCCAGTTTTTCAATATTTGTGTATATAAACTAATCTTGGTGATACTGTACATAGCTGTTTGAAATGCCAGAATGACTTCTGACTATTCCAAGCTTTTCACAAAATATATTTTATCTGTGATTAGCCATTTGACTAATAATACTGGCTAACAGATATTGCAAAAAAAGAAAAGAATTTGTCTATTGTTTGTTTTCCTATTTTGGTTTAAAACATGTTTGCACTTGTCTCTTTGACTTGTGTTTTATTAACATTGATTGGCATATTAAAAGTCACTCTGAGCTTACCTTAATTGTCTAAATCTTTGTACCACACCTATTTTCTACTACTTTATCTCCATTATCACTGCATTAGAGTATAATATATATAAAGTACTAAAAGCAAAGGGCACATTTTTGATAGAATATGAAACATTGATTATTTACTGATGAGCTTTAGTCCACATTAGTTACATTTAGGGATTCAAGAGAAATTTACCCATCAACCTTGAATTTTTTTGTCATTATATAAAATATTTTTATGTCACATTGTATGTTATGCATTTGATCTGCTAGAAATGTAGTAGAATGTAGTTTAAAATAGCTTTAGATTATTAAGTGAGTATAATAGATATGACATAACTTTAATTTGAACTCAGTTGCAGAAGAGAGCTTTAAATTTTTTATGGCTGAGTAGTATTCCATTGTATATATATATATATATATACCACATCTTGATCCAATCATCAGTCGAGGGACACTTGGGTTGTTTCCACTTCTTGGCTATAGTGAATAATGCAATGAACATAGGGGTGCATAAGCCTCTTTGGATTGTTGATTTCAGGTTCTTTGGATAGATTCCCAGTAATGGGATAGCTGGATCATAGGGTATTTCTGTTTTTAATTCTTTGAGGAATCTCCATACCGTTTTCCATAGAGGCTGCACCAGTTTGCATTCCCACCAGCTGTGTATGAGGGTTCCTGTTTCTCCACATTGTCTCCAACATTTGTTGTTTTTTGTCTTGGTGATTATAGCCATTCTAATGGGTGTGAGGTGATATCTTAGTGTTGTTTTGATTTGCATTTCAAAGTGGGGAGGGTTTTAACTCTTAAAGTAATCTGGATTTTAAGAATTGAGAGTGCAAATTTAAGTGATAAACAGTGCTAATTCTCCGAGACATCTTTTTCTCATGTAGATTTAGAACCAGAGAGGAAGCGATGAAGGCCTTTGAGCAGATAAAAATGGATGTTGCAAGACCCTTGTGCCTTTTGATCATGGGTACATCATTTCTCTTGATTAGGGTCTGTTTCTCCCTGCTATAAACATTTCTAATAAGCTTGATTATTTTAGCTTTTAAGCCTATGGCACATTGAAAAGCACAATTTAGAGGTGTGAGAGGAATTGGTGCACAGATAAATTAGATATAAAAGCTGATAGGTGTAGATGACAGAAAACCTAAAAAGCTTCATAGGCTGGAGCAGGTAACTCACATTTCAGTAGGCACTGAAGACAAAGCTATAAAAAGTATAATGATTGGTGTTCATTAGGATCATTCTAAGGCATTAAGGTGCATTTTTCTAGTGCACTGGCTTCAAAGAAAAAAAATCAGGTGTTTTTCATCAAAATTTGCAGTAAATTTTTCATGTATTGTTTAAGAATATTAGATTAAGCAGGAAAAAAACCTGGTTTTCAAAGAGGAAAGTGTTAAGCCATCTGAAAGCTGATATGAGAGGCTCATATTCAACACAGGATACTTATATTGAGTGCCTTCTATGTGCTAACTGGTAGACAAAAGGCCAGTGAGAAAGTCTGCCCACTAGGGACTCAGGATAAAATAGAGGAGACCCATTAAACATAAAATGGCAATAAAATGTGGTAAGTGCTATGTTGGAGGGATTCTGCAAGGTAGGGTGATGGCTCAAAGGACAATTACATATCTTGGGAAGATGCTAGTGGTAGATTACAGAATGGACCCTGGAGAGTTATGTTTAGACTGGTTTCAAACCCATTGAACTAACTCCGGTTAAGAGTAAGGAAGGCCTGGACCAGGACCCTGCTGTGGATGGAAGCTAGGGGGTGGGGATTTCATTAGATGGGAACACTTCACCTTGAACAGTTTTTGTTTGTTTTTATAACAGAATGAGAACTTAGCATAACATCAAGATTGGAGGAAGCTACAAGTGCTAATATTGAAGCATTGAAGAACTTTTCAGAAAATTTAATTAAAAGGCAGAGGCCTGTTGTCTGAGACAACTATTTAACATTGATAAAACTACTTTTTTGGAAAACTGACTTTAGTGAGGAAGAAAAATTTACAATATTGACTATGCAGTTGGATAGGAGGAATCACATATTGCAGTTGACTACAAATTGAAACTTGCCTTACCTTTAACTTTATCTTGCCAAGAATCCAAGGCAGTTCCCCTAATGACTTTTGAAGAGCCAGTTTTCAAGCTTTGATTTTCACTCTGTTCCAGAGGTCAAGAAATAATGGCAATTAAAAAATTGATAACAACTGGGTTTGGGTGACGCTTTGGGCTGTCTCCTAATTCTTAAGCAGCAGCATCCTGACATTAGAGTAGTGTTTCTTCCTCCCCAATTCATCTCCACAAAGCATCTCACTGAATTTAGTCAACAGATCAAATAAGTTGTTGCATCCTTAAAGTATTTTTATTTGTGAAAAAATTAAAGACCAATTAAAGCAATCAACAAGGAGGATGGATCAAAAAATTTTGGAAGTGTTTTAGATACTGTGAAAATCACAAGTGAAGCCTGGAACTAGGAATTTGGAGAAAACTGCTTCATTCAGTATTTTGGAGGCATTTGTATAACTGCAAAAAGCATCACTGAAACTGATTGACATTGCAGAGTGAGTGGATCTAGAAGTTTCTCCTGCAAACGTGGTTGTATGGCTAGAAATCTCTCAGAAGCTCAGCAAAATAGATTTTTATAAAAATGGAAGAGTAAGACGTCATTGAAACGTCCCTCTCCCAACATTTAGCTTTCAAAAACTTTGAGAGGCGTTCATCTGAACATTATTGGACTTTTTTTTATTCTGTGGCAGATGACCCTAATTTTCAATGCACTTCAAAGGTCTCTGGAGTAAAGAAAAATATCTGTGTATGCTCTAGGAAGATTTACCGGGAAAAGATCGCATGTTCTGTCCAAACTTCATTCAACTAAGAGAAACCTCGGCCAGTCCAGCCCATGAAGAAAAATACCTCAAAGGAACATTTATATCATAGTTCATATTGTTTAATTTTATATGGTTAATAAATACTTTAAATAAATATTATTTGTTTTGAGTTTTGACATTTTTATGGTATGAAATGGATTTCCAGGTGGGAATTCCAATTTATGCCTACTAATCCATTATGCCAATGGGAAATAGAGGTTCAGTGTACAGCGACTCCACTTAGGGTGATTATCCAGGAGAGGAGTCACCTTTTTGCAGAGGAGACTGTGGAGGCTCAGGTGAGTTAAATAACTTAGGAACTCAGTTTGGTAAGTAGGAGAGCCAGAATTCCAACTCAGATTGATACCAAACCAAGTGGGATCGCCTCCTGGTGAGTTAAATGAGACTCTACACCAGTGGAAGTTGTCTCACAAAGTAAAGTGTATTTGCAGCAAATAGGAGGCCATGAGGAATCATTTCCAAAGTCATGGCATCCCTGAACAAAGGGAAGTAGGAACTTTTATTTGGTTGGGGAATGAATATTCAAAAGGGAGAGGCAGGTATGCTGCAGATTATGGTAATGAGGCTTAATCTCCTCCTGAAGAGATCTTTGCATTAAAAATGAGGCAAGGTCATGGGGGTAGCTCTTGTAGGGAGGCTTGGTTAGCTTCAGGGTGGTTGCTGGTTGTGCCTCCTTAACATAAAAAAACAACTTGGAAAATCAGTTAAATGCTTCCAAACCCACCCTTGAGTTCCTCAGGGCACTAGTCAGTGACAAACTCCCCCTCTAGTTTTATCCTGCTCATTTTTTTTTTTTTTTGTGAGGAAGATCAGCCCTCAGCTAACATCCATGCTAATCCTCTTTTTGCTGAGGAAGATGGACTCTGAGCTAGCATCTATTGCCAATCCTCCTCCTTTTTCTCCCCAAAGCCCCAGTAGATAGTTGTATGTCATAGTTGCACATCCTTCTAGTTGCTGTATGTGGGACGCGGCCTCAGCATGGCAGGAGAAGCGGTGTGTTGGTGCATGCCCGGGATCCGAACCTGGACCGCCAGTAGCAGAGCTTGCGCTCTTAACCGCTAAGCCACGGGGCCTGCCCATATCCTGCTCCTCATTCTTGAGGGGCATAGGTCGAAGGTCCATCTTCTGTAACTGCTTTCTGATGAGCATGGGTGCTGTAGGGACCAGTAGAGGAGCAGAATTTACAGCTAATCTTCAAATGGGTTTTCGGGTCACCAGAGGCATAGCCCTGGATTGTTCGTAACAACTATTTGTAATTTTATAGCCTCTGTGTGTTTAGGATCTGGGCATACTTGCTCCCCTTCCCCACTCCAGATTCCACTAGCTCTTTATAGTCTAGCTACTGGGTTGTCCATTTCTCTGATGGACGTAGTCTTGCTGCCCAGGAACCTGCAACCTCCTTGTATGGGGTTAGTTAGGATCCAGGGCAAAGCCTGGGGTGAATAGCCATTCATTACTTATCTGCATAGTGTCACCAAAACAAGAGTTTCACATCAGAGAGTGGGTTGCAGGAAAACTCAGTCATCAATTGTCTGTGATGATCTCTCTTGATATTTAGGCGTGGGTGCCTTTTTAACCCGTGTGTGATGGATCCAAGGGGTGACTCCTCTGGGGATATCTGATGATAAGGGGCCTAGGTCATTCCATCTCATTGAACCAGTCTCTTAATAAGTTGGTGATGCAGGTGGGCTTCCAAAGTTAGGCCTGGGCTCAGAGGACAGCCAGCTAAGAAGATTTCTAGATGTCAGTGTCAAAGCATCTTTTGCAGCTTAAAATGTCTCTGATGATGTCATCGGGTGTTCAAGTATCCTTTCTGAGTGGCTTATGTAGCAACAGACATGAATCTCTCTTAAGTTTATATCAAGTCCTCCAGCTTCAGTTTGCAAGGCTTCAGGGAAAAGAGCAGGTTCAGTTCTCAGTGGTTTCAAATGAAAACGACAGAAAAGATAGAAAACGTTAGTTTGGAGATTTGTAGCCAGATATTTCAGGAGACTAGAAGAATTCAGGATCCAGTCCAGTCAATAGATATAAAACAAAAACCTCAAAGACAATTAACAAATCTAGGATCTAATATCCACAAATGTGTACTATAGTTTTTACTGAAATATAATTT